CCTTTTTTCTTTCTCTCCTCTCTCCTCTCTTTGCTTAGACTATTGGTATATATAGGTCAGGCACCTGCCTCCTAACTGGTTGAGAGATTAAAGACTAGGGGAGCACCAAGATTTTCATAAGTCAGGTCTGCACCTCCTGGCCAGACATCATTGACCTTTTGTTTCCTTAGCCCCTGTGCTTCCTAGGAGCCTCCTTTTTTTTTTTTTTTAAGAGTCCTGAGAACTGCAGGAAGATAATAACAGGCATACTCTCTAAGAGTTTGCCCCTTCAAGTATGGTCTTCAGACCAGCAGCAGCAGTATTGCCAGGGAGCTTCTTAGAAGTGCAGAAAATCTGGGCTCCCACAGACCTGCTGAATTCAAATTGCAGGTGAATCATACACACATTAAAGTTGGGAAGCCTTGATTATAGAACACTTCACCCTCCAGGGGAGGAAGCATCTCCTCTAGCAAACAGATCTCCCATGGCAGTGCCTTGTGTCTTGGACTGCATAACAAGGTGCTGACACGGAGCTCAGGAGCTACAAATAAGGGCACCAGCCAGATGTAGTGTGTGCCTTCAGTGGGGCTCTGCTACTGTCATTGCTCTCCTCTGCCCTCCGAGAAGGGAGGCACGCGTTACATGTTAAATCTTTCCCTCATAAATATGTAAATGATATGGAGACCTGGACGATTGCTTCCATAGTTATTAGAAGGTTCACAACAAATGTCACCCGTGTCTCTTCCAGGGAGTGATTTGCTCCCTTTCTGTGCTCTCCGTCAAGACTTCGCCCATCTCTACTTAGAGAATGCACCATTCTGCTTTGTTTATGCATCCCCATCCCTCACATTATATTGTACAATTCTTCCTGGCCCAAAAGAATACATAAAAGAAGGAAAAAGGGAGGAAAGGAAGGAGGGAGGGAGGGAGGGAGGGAAGAAATGGGATTGAGTTTTAGAGAATTGAAGGTACACATGTGTTCTGGATGTTGGAGAGTATGGAGCAAAAGTAGGGAGAGAAGCGAGTGTTCAGAAAGAGAAAGGAAAGAAAAATCTTAGGGAGGTAGGGATGAAGCTGTTGGGTTACAGATAAGGGGACAAACCAAGAATTAAGGTCGCTTAAATGTAAGTGTGGAGCCAACGTGGGAATCCAGATCTGTCTGACTGAGGGCATATGCGTGTTCTGTACCACACTGCTTTTAACATCATGAAAGGATAGCACTAGAATGTCCCTCAGTACCTGCATAGCAAACCCAACTCCCTCGTCCACAGGGGAGCAAACTCCCAGAGAAGTGGAGTGACTTGCCCACAGTTACAAAGCTGGCTGGTGGCAGAACCAGAACAAGAAACCAGAAGAAAGTTGTGTGTCTACAGCCCAGTCATACTACCTGAATTTTCCCATCTATCCTTCCACGTCTGGAGTTAAGGCCTTACTTTTGTGCCTTGGGTGGCTCCTTCGGTCCATGGCCTCTTGCTCTTCTGTTGAAAGGAGTAAGGACTCTCAGGGCATATCAGAGTGTTGCCATGGTGACTGCAGCCTAAGGCCTTTGGAGGTTAGTGGTACCCAGATACCTCTAGCTTTTACACAGAAGATGTTTTGCAGAAAGTACCAGATTTGTAAAGATATTCAAAGTCAAATTGATGGTCTCTAGAAAATAGCAAGAAATTGGAGGCAGGATGCTGTAATTAAAAAACATTGAGCTGATAGAGTCATCAGGAAACTGGAAAGCTGATCCCTCTATCTCCAGCTTAGATGGAAACATGTCTACTCTGTGTTTAAAGCTTCTCAGGGGAGAAAGTTTAATCTTTTTTCTTTCACTTGTTATAGCAACTGATTATTTTTGCTAGAACCAATCCCAGAAGATGTGAGGATATTCTAACCTCTTAGTAGTCCTCTTATGCTTCCTGGAAAATGGTCTTCCTTCCCCCACCTTCACACTCCCAAGCCCTGAACTGGGTCCCTGTCATCTCCCAGGACCCAGACGTCATTTACTGGCAGAGAGAGGTAGAGAAGGAAGCAGATTAGACTGCTATTCCTAGCCCTGCTAATAGATACAACCTTGGGAAAGTTCTTTCACCTTTTCCTCATGTCAGAAATCAGTAGACAGGACGACCTCTAAAAAACTTCCAATTCCAAAAATCTAATCCTCTATTTTGCCTGAGGGCTAAACTTCTAAGACTTATTTCTTCCTAAGGGCATTTTAATTTTCATACAAAATATAATGGCAAAAAGATCTCTTTTATATGCAAGAGAACAGACTCACATGGTGAAATGACAGACATTGGAGGTGATTTTTGGGGGCAGGACAACATGTAGGCGATGTATTCCAACCACTCGTAAGGTAGCTCTGCCCATCATGACCCCTATTTTCGTATTTGTGAAAAGAAGCCAGGGACTGGATCTGAACTCTTCCTGATATCCAGTATGTGAAGCAATCTTCATTTCTGTTTTTGGCTATGGAGGCACGAGTATGCATTATATTATCAGCAGCAGGTGTTAAATGTATTATTTAGTGTTAGAGGTATTAGTCTCGAACATTAGGGCATCAGATTAGCATTTGATGTATTAGTTCTTTGGGGTTACAATTGATGCTTGAATTTCCGATTGTTATTATCTAGTAACTGAATTGTGATTTGGCTCTTAATTCCACGATGAGTTCACCAACATTGACAAACCTAGTACTAATTAATTAATGACAATTCTTGATTTGCAACTGTGTCTGAGAAAAGATAACTCACATCTGATTATTATAGACTCTTAAGGCAATCATTTGGGGACAGCCTTTCCTTATGGCATTTCTCAGCCTAGCTTTCTGAGAAACTCATGCTGAATTCATGGTTTCAAGCTTTTAAAAGCCTCTTAAGAAATCCTGCCCATCCTTTACCCCCCCCCCCCCCCCCCCCCCGCCGACTTCCTCCACCTGCCTTGTGGAAGCCAAGTCTTTGGTCTGCTGCTTTGATCCAAGCTCTTCTACACCAGATACCCCATCACTGCCTTGGAACGGAGGAGTCAGACATCTGTCACAGATATCAGGTAAGTAGGTCAAATATAAACATGTCTACTACTGTAATTAATTATTAATGTCTTTTAGACCCTCTATCAATATGGTACTTGCTTCTGGGCTCAGAAGGGCACTCCTAAATATTTACCAACGTGTAATAGTACTTTTAGATGGAGTTGATACACTCAGCTTCATGGTTTAAACCTTCCAGCAGGCAAGCAGTGGAAATCTTTGTAACTAGATGCATATATTTCTAAAACCATATCATACCAGCATCTTCCCAGAGCCTTCCTAAGACAAGGAGTCTGAGGTAAGGAGATGCAGCATCCTTCCTAATAACTCTATAGGTGGGCTTTTCCCCCGGTCTGCTCTCTGATTCAGAGACTGACAGCTGAGGGTTCCCACCCCTCAGCTGTGCGACTGGCTCAGGTGGGATGTGCGCCCTCGTGTACTGACTCAGTTCTCACTGGGACAACTACCTTCACGCTACTGAGGATGCAACTGCTAATTTTGTGCACAGCGCTTTCTCAATTGCTTTCCTCCCCACTCTGAATATTGCTGTGCACGGTGTGCCTTTAGTTTGTGGGTGAAAGCCTCTGCCCACCCACTCCTACAGCATATAGATATGCACACTCAGAATGCTACAATCAGACTCTCCTATCTGCCTTACACCTCTCAAACCCCATCCTGGGAAGGTATCAAAGCCTTCCTACCAGTTGCAACCCCTTTCCCAACAATGCACACTCCTTTGGCACATCAACACCCCCACTGATGAAAATGACATCTGTTGGTTTCATCTTCCACAGACGAGGAGCTTGACATAAACTGCCCAAAGTAAGCAGCGGCTGAACCAGAAATAGGCAGCCAATACCTGTGTTCATCCCTAAATCATTCCATCACTCTGTATTTCTACAGTAGAAGCCTTCAGGGGAGTTGTGAAGAAAGAAATGCCCCAGGCTGCTTATCTATCAAGGATTTCAGGTCCTCCTGGATGGATGGGACAGTAATAGACTGCTGAATTCCTCTCTTTGCAAAAATAAACGAAGATGGCTCTGGGCAGAGAGACATGACCATCCTTTCTGTCTCCCAATTCATTTTGTACCGACCAAGATGTACCACAGGTAAGGAATGAGGTACTTAGTATTTACATGGTGACTTTCGCCTGAATAAGATGGGGGTTGTCATGACTACACATTGTACTTGGATCATGTGGAGAACAGACAGAGAATTGGTTCTCCAAAAGATCTGCTATAAAATGCTTCTCATACCACCTGGGGGAGGCACTAAGGGAGAATGATGCATTGTTCTGTGTGGCTTATGTCAAACCTGACTTTTAGGCTGGGAAAGTAGTCATCAGACAGAATGGAGAAAACCAAGGCCATGTCTGCATGGTTCCCAATTTCCTCAAAGGCAATCCCAGACCATAAGATGCAGAAGATGAAAACTTCTCCTGATGTCCACAGCAGTGCAGGCAAAGAGAAACCCCTGTTAGCAGGCATTTGCCCTAGGCACAGAGGCTACAGTTCTCCTGGAAAGCAAGAACTTCTCTACTACTCTCCTGATAGTGGCCTATCCTGGTTGTCAGACCTGTGTTAGCCCTCACACCTGGGAAAAAAGGAGGTGGGCAAGCCAGGTAACTCTCTGGAGTTTTGCCTCACTCCATTCTTTATTTAATGTCAATTTCTCTCTCTCTCTCCCTCTCCCTCTCCCTCTCCCTCCCTCCCTCTCCCTCTCCCTCCCTCTCCCTCTCCCTCCCTCCCTCCCTCCCTCCCTCCCTCTCTCTCTCTCTCTCTCTCTCTCTCTCTCACACACACACACACACTCAAGCCAGACATGCATGCACTTGTGTGTACACAGATCAACCAGCCTCCTACATAGCAATAGCCTCCATCCATGGACACCCAATTTTTAAAAATCCAGGCAGCCCAGGGAACTATACTCTTTTTTTCCCCTCTCTTTTCTCTCTCATTTTTTCCCCTAAAAAACAGCCTTTTTAAAACATATATATATTAAACCAGGCAAGTTTTTACTCATACGTTCATGTGGCTGGAGCAGATTGACAAGAAAAACAATCACAAAATAAATATTTTTTGTTTTTTTGTTTTTTAAAAAGAACATTTCCTTATACATTGTCTCTAACTTGACAGAGCTGCTTTCTTGGACAGAACAGATGCTGTTGGGAGAGGAGCTCTGGCTGGACCACAAGGGGAACGTGGAGCCAGCCAGGCCCTGACACTGGGGAGGCCAAGGAAGCAAGGGGGCCAAGGGAGAGGGAGGGCAGCAGGGCTGCCTGGCTGCCCTGAGTGGTCCTCCGTGGGTGTCGCTTCCTGTTTCCCCAAGGGAGCTGGCTTGAGGAACGGTCTGTGTCTGGAGGGCTCAGAGGAGGCAGCGAACAAAAAGTAAGAACCACTGTGGGGAATCATGAAACAACGCCATTTAAGAAATCTGGCTAAAAAGAATACAAAAGTGACTCCACGGAGGGGGAGGCGGTGCTCCCACCTCTCCCATTGTTGTTCCCTCTTGCTTTCTTGAATGCTGAGAATCACTTTTAAGAATTTGTGTGTTGCACAGTTGGGCTGGTTCCTTTTCTGAAGCTCTCCCTGGCTCCCTCTCCTTCAACTGCATTCATGAGAAAGCACCGGCTTCACAGACACAAGGCTGCTGAGTGCTCGCCTCCCCTTGTGAATGTGTGCGCGTGTGCACACGCGTGGTGTGTGCATGTGTGCGGCGGCTGTTTCCTTCTCTCCTGCCTGCTTCAGTTCAAGCCCCGAGTCCCATCTGCTGGGTGCAGTCTTAAGGGAACACCCCGTTGGCACTAAGGTGAGGGCTTAGATCTTTGCACCCCGGATTCATGGATCCCCTCCCTGCCCGGCACTGGAGTGGGTCCCCCATTAGCTACAGAGTTTGCCTGTCTCATACTCCACAGGGTTTGGCAGCTTGGAGTTGAAAGCCCTCAGAGACGACTGGATCCTGCCCACCTCATTGTTGGCCAGTTTGAGCCGATGCCGGAGCAAGCAGGAGAAAAGGTCAAGCCGCACCTTGCCAGGTGGGGAAAGCTGGTTGACCCGGTCCCTAAGCTCGATGAGCTGCAAGAGGGCAGAGTCCTGGGAACCTTGAGTATACGGGTAGTCTAACTGGAGAATTAAGTCCCGGATGGCATCCGGGTCAAAGGGCAGGCTGTAGCCAAAGACCTGCAACGTGTTGATTTTCATGTAGCCCAAGTTCTTGGAGGGGTCGGTCATCTCCAGAGGCTCGTAGTAGATCGTCTCATTGGAGCTGTCGTCCAGGGACTTGATTCGGCTCCGCAGGTAAACATGGACTGTCTCAAAGAAGGTCTTCCACCTGTTGCCCAAGGTAATAGTCCAGTTTTGGCACTGGGCAGCAGCATCCACATTAGTCCTTTCCCAGTCTGGGAAACTGCCCTCGTTCACGGGCATGAACCAGCTCTCAGAGTGGCTGCCCCCAAAGGGGTTGACGTAGATGGCCATGACAGGCTCCAGGGTGCTGTTCTTGGTGAGGCAGATCTGCAGGGACAGGGCCAGCATCACGTGCACCAGCCCGGGCTTGTACTTGTTGCTCTTCAGGGTGAGCAGCATGCGTTTCCTCCAGGAAGGGTCGAACCAGCTGCCCAGGCGCATGTCATTGCTGATGAAGATGGAATGCACCTCGATGCGGCTGTCCCACTTCTGCAGCAGGTACTTCAGCTCCAGGTCCTGCAGGTCTGTCTCCAGCCCCAGAAAGTTCTCCAGCGACTCGGCCACCTCGGGGCGGCACAAGCCCTGGGCGAGCACGTAGCCTGGGTTGCAGCTCCCACAGCGTGTGCTGTTGTCTGGGGCACAGTGGGCACAGGCGGGCCCTTCGCCCAAGGCACAAGGGATGGGGCCCTGGCAGGAGGACTGGTCGTAGGGGCAGGTGCAGCTGTGGCTCTGTTCCAGGAAGGTGCCAGGGAAGGTGCTCTCTCCACAGTAGAGGAGGGACTGGATACGGTTCCACCAGTAGGACAAAGACCTTTGGGAGGGGGGATAAAAATGAAGCAAGAGTCATAGGAAGCCACACACTGCTGCTTCCCTGAGGGTGGCAGGAGATTTGACTAATAGGTGATAAGGAAGATACAAGCCCCAGGTTCTCTGAATGACAGAAACCCTACTTTACCCCTTTGGGATAACCAAACAAATTACTTCCTCCCTCCAAAGTACCACCTCATTCCCTTATTCAAAAGCCTACAGAAGATCTGCAGCGCCTTTCGTATCCAATCTAGTTTTCAGCCTCTTAAATAAGATCTTCCAACAACTGGCTCTCCAAACTTTCCAATGTCATGCCAACCTCTTTCCCCCTTCACAGTCTCTGTCCTTTCTAGAAACCTCCCACCAAGGATAGGACTTTTCTATGGCTGGCTCCCTCTTAAGGTTTAGACTTCAGCTCTTAGGATACCTCCTCAAAGAGGTCTTCAGCCACTCCCCTGTCCAAAGCACCGCCCAGGCCCTCTCTGTCACATCACCCTGCTTTGACGTGATTCACAGCAATGTTCATTATCAAAGTGGATTGTGTTTATTTATTGTTGACCTGTTCAGAGATGGCTTCCCTGCATATGCCGTGAAAGCAGGGACCCTGCATTATTCCCCAACGTATTCTCAGAAACTAGGATTGTTCCTGGTGCCTGGTAAGCATTTCCTAACTATGTGTTGGGGAAAAAAAAAAGAACCTTTCTCAAATGCCCTTGCCGGTCTGTCCTCTCACTCGTATGTCCCTCGTTACCTGTGCCTCAGTTAGAAGTGCACCCCTGGGTTGCTGTGAGGGCAGCGCCCCCTCCTGGAATGCTCTGGCTCACACGTACCAGCCCACTTCCATTTCCTCCCACACAATCTGGCCAAGAGGTCCTTCTCCTGGGTGGCTTTTCTCTCTGACCTTTACTATTACTAGACCATGCCTTTGATTTACGGTCCACGAACATGCTTTTAAGTGGCTGCCACATAATAATTTTATAATTTTGACGTTCCTGTATATTTATTATATCTTCTCAATTAACAAATATCCCTCACTGCTTAATATTAGGACATGCGAGGTGGACTTAATAAAGGCTTGTTGGATGCACGTGTGAAGGAGCAGATGGAGGCATGAGGGCCTGTGACAATCCAGCCCCACTCTGTTCCCGAGGGCACAGGCCCTCAGCTCGCTTCCCTCCTATGACTCAGAGCAGAGTCACTTGCTGGAAACAATCTATTGTGTGTGTTTCTCATCATACGCAATTGGTCTGAAAGCTTTAACTCCACCCTTTTCTTTCCTAAAAGACTTACTAAAAGAGAAATGAGTAAGTGAGAATTAGAGTATTATTAGAATAACATTCGAATCGACTATAATTTATATAAAAGTAAAATTAGCCTCTCTGTTTTTTCTCTCTCTCTCCCACTTCAGATGCAACTCATAACTGAGAATGACACGCAAGTATGTCAAGATAACAGGAGACGCTAACAGGCCGTGTGTGCGTCAGCATTCCCAGCTCTGCTGTGTTGGACAGGGGCCCTCCCCGGCCTCAGTGGCTGTCATGGGTGACGCGCTCTGGCTCGGGCATCTGGGGCGCTCACCTCTCCTTGGGCAGGCGGAAGCGGGGCTGCCGGTGACAGCGCTTGCAGAGGTTGAAGAGCCGGCGGACGATCCGATGGGTCTTCTTGAACAGCACTTTCAAGCTGACTCCCAGCTGCTGGTAGCGGTGCTGGAGGCTGGTGTCCATGGCCCAGAACTGGGAGATGGCTGTGGAGTTCAGGAACCTGTCGTCCGGCAGCCGCTTCAGCAGGGCCTGGAATTCCTCTGTGGGTAAGAACACGAGAGCTGAGCTGAGGGGCACCTGAATGGGTGCCCATCAGGAGGACCTCCCCCTCCCCCCAGACCCAGCCCGCCCTTCAGTCACTGTATGAGAAAGGAGGCTTCACATCCACCCTCCCGGGCCCTTCTATTTCTTTCTTTTCAAACATCCTTATTCAGAGATGATTGACATACCTTAAGATATGGATTCTTTCCCAACCTTCCTGTTTCTAATATGCTTCTGAATTTCAAAACACATCTCTGTCACCACCCACAGAGCCAATGACCTTGGGATGCATCTCTCTTGCCCTTTATACCGCCTTATAATTCATGCACAATCTTCTTCAATCACACCACCGCACCCTTAGGGAAGGTGTGAGGCATTCATGAAGGTGAGGGCGGACAAGACTGGCAAATGCAGACACAGAAGAGGGAGCACCCAGCTCAGAAGTCTTCTTAGAAGCCTTTCAGTCCCTGAGACCAGCCTCTTCCCTCCATGTCCTTCTCTCTGACTCTAGGACACCTTTCCTCTCTTGAGATTTACCTCTTGGCCAGACACCCATTCTTTCTTGAAACTAACCCGGAAGCAATGTGCTTTCTGGTTCTTAGCTCCTGCTGCAAGTCTGAGTCCTCCTCAGAGCTTCCTGGGCACAATGTGTTTTCTGAATTCACGCTCAGATCTCTGTCTATGCACCTGCTTTTACTTGGAACCTGCAGCCATCACGTCTCCTGATGGGGGTCTGGACAGTCCTCCTTCACTCACTGGCAGTAATCCATAGTGCTGAAAGCCCAAAGTCCTTTCCCACACCCTCTAGCATTACCTAACGCATCCCACCACCATTGGTCCAATGCAGCTGGGGGGCCGGAATATGATACTCTCCTTAGCAACTGAATGCCTTGTTTAAGACCTGAGATGGCAATGCCTGGAGCCTCAGTTCATTCTGATTTCTCAAGTCCCTGGTTCTTCATCCCCCACCCAGATGACTGGAAAAATCACACCTAGTAATGACATTAACAACTAGTAGTGTGTGCATAGTTCTTTTTATGAAACACTTAGGTATACAAAACAGCACAGAGAATAACAAGATAAACTCCCATGTGCCCACCACCTAGAGTTTGCCATTTTGCCATATTGAATTCAGATTTTTTTTAAAAAGAAATATGGCAAAGCAAATATACTTGAAGGCCTTAAACTTCCCCCTCCATCTTTATCTAGATGTAACTACTCTCTTGAATGTTTTATTACTATCATATATTTTTTAACGTTTTCTAAAAATCTATCCATAAAAATACTAAGTATTGGCTAGTATGTTTTAAACATCAAATAAATAGTACTAAATATGTATTATATTTAATGTTATTACAGTATTACATATAAATGTTATTTAAATACAATTATGTATATATAATACATAACCTTTTTCATTTGCTTTGTTTTATCCAGTATTGTTTTTTTGAGATACATCCATATAACTATTATTCATTTAATACTGAAATGTATGAGCGTATCACGCAGAGTTCTTTATACTTTATCTACATTGCTCCATATGGGCCATCCATCCACCTATTATTATCATTTTCCCTCATTTACAGATGAAGAAATGGAGGCACTGAGGAGCTTCAGGGCTAAAGCAAAGTTAGACAAAGGATCAGTAATAGAGTGTGTGAGGTCTGTCCAAGATGTTATAACAAAATACCACAGACTGGGTGGCGTAAACAACAGAAATGTATTTTCAGAGGCCAGAAGTCCAGGATCAGGAGGCTGCTGGCAGGTTCTGGTGAAGGCCCTCTTCTGGGTTGCAGATGGCAAAATTCTTGCTGGGTCCTCACATGTTGGAAGAGGTAAGGGATCTCTCTGGGGCCTCTTTTATATGAGCACTGATCCCGTTCATGAGGGCTCAGCCCTTAGGACCTAATCAAATCCCAAAGTCCCCACCTCCTAATACCATCACCTTGGGCATCAGATTTTCCACATATGAATTTGAGGGGATACAAACATTCAAGCCATAACACGGAATAAGAACTCAAAACCAAGCCCTCTGAATCTCAGTCTCAAGGTGACATTGATATCAGTTATACCTGCAATAAGCAATCACCAGCATGTACTAGGTGCCTCCTAGAAACATGCCGTGTGCCTCATTCATTCAACAAATATTCACTGTGCACCTTGTGTGCAGGCACTGTGGAATCTGTGGCAAACAAGACAGACAAGGCCTATGGCCTCAATTATATTTACCTTAGCTTATTAAGTCCTTGAAACGCATCACTTTGGTAGGTATTAGGTCTGTTTGCATATACAAAAAAAGAAAATGAGTTCAGACTTGGGGTGGTCATATAACCTGCTGGAGGTCACCCAGCCAGTTAAGTGGCTGAGCCAGGAGCCAAGCTGAGCGCCCCGGGTTCTTACCCCGTACCTCTCAGCCACCTCCCATTGACAGGGAGGAAATCTGGGCTGACTGACTGCTCACCTGACTCCTCAAACTGCTGGTTGTGAGTCACCCAGGAGTCCTGGATCTGCAGCAGGCTGTCCTCCATGGCCTGGATGTCAGCGTCAGGACAGTTGCATTCTGGGAAGGTGGGGCTGCACTTGCACCAACAGTCATTCTCCTTGCAGATGAGCTCGCCCTCAGAGCTGCATGTGATGTAGCTGAGCGCAGCGGTCACGAAGCGCTCCCGCAGGTACTCGGGCAGCAGCACCTGCAGGCCTAAGGAAAGGACGAGTCGGGGAACTGCCGGGCAGGGCCAGGGAGTACTCGGTTTCCCACACCCAAGGCTGCAGGATCCCCAGCTGGGGTTCTGCTGACTTGTGCATGCTGGGCCCAAGAATGGCCACCCCAGGCCCCGATCCTGCTGAGCTGGTTGGGACACAGGGTTATTGCTGTCCCAGTGACAGATGGGGCACGTCAAAGCTCAAGGCTTAGTCAAACCCCTCACATCAGCCAAATTGAGAGCGTGCATATCATATGAACGGGCTTATTGGCTACGTGTCAGCATTTCTAGAATGGAAATGGGAAGATGTTTCAGATAAAGGAAGAGCTTATAGCCCTCGTGGGGGAAGAATCAAGGCTTGATGGGCTTTTTTGCTCTGCCTCCAATTGCCATCCTGTTTCTAGCTTCTCTGAGGTGAGAGGCAGGCCTCCTAGGATACTTCTGAATGCTGACCCTCCTGGGCCTCCCACCTTAGCCCCGATGACCAAGGAGGCTGTCCTGCTTAGGAGGTAGGGACAAGGTGGTGTGGGTACACAGTGGCCAGGCACTACAGCAAGCACTTTCCATATACAACTACAAGCAACACTGTGGTCGTACTGAGGCTCTTATAATGAGGAAATCCCAGTCCAGTGACCACGGTGACCTGCCCAAGTCACAGTGCCGGGAAAGTCAGCTTGGTGTCAGACCCTGTCCTTGTCCCATTGGGTCATACTGCATAACTGGGACTGGCTGCCTATCTCAGGGTTTAACCCTTAACGCGATGTGAAAGCAAGATGGCGACGGATGCCCCAAGTTCAGTTGAGCCTGGATAGATATGAATGTCTCTCAGCTCTCTTTTCTAATTAGCTGCCTCTGGTCTTGAATATAACCCACTAAATTGCTCCAAGCTTCCGTTTTCCTACCCATCTGTGGTGGATATTGGTTCACCAGCAGCAGAACAGACTCCTAGTTGGCTTCAAGCCACACAGGGCGGCTGTTGGAAGCATATCCAGAGGTGAATGAAGGACGGGCATGCCTTTGGTTGCAGCCCAGCCCGGTTCGAGGTCAGACCTGCAGGAGGCTCTCCCAGCAGGGACACTGGGAGAAACTGTGCCAGGAGAGGGAGGGACGCGAGGACTTCTGGACGGGATGAGCTCCCCTTTCATCAGATATCTGCCAGCTCTTTATTGTCACACCCTTGACCTTGTCCTTGGCAGGAAGTCAGAGAGCCCAAAGTACGTAACCCAGTCTCGGCAGACCTCAAAATATAATTTAGAATTGCAGCCGTGGTAGATGTTTGTTGTTCTTGTTTGTGATCTACCTCCTGTTCTGAACGGCTGCTAAACCTTCCTTTCTTGACGATGTGCCCACAGTGGCACTTGAGCAGCCCTCCCCATGCACGCTGTCCACACACGCTTGCTTTCAACACTCAGCCCTCTCCAAGTCCTTTCCTTTCACCTCCCCCATTAGCTCCCTCCTCCTCCTAGCATTTCCTATTGCTACAAAATAAGTGCCCCGAGCAATGTCTGCATGAGTGATGGGCTATAAAATTAAATAGCATAAACTATTCCAAATGAACCACCAGACACTCTGAACTTCAGCCCATCCAGGGACCTAAGAGAAGAGGGATGCTAATTGCATTGGGCGGCTTTAAATACAGGAGTCTTTTCCTCCTTTTTGTATGCTTCTTGATGCCTAAAGCACTGAGGGGTTACGTCTGGCTCAGGTTGCCTGGAATTTGTAATCATAGATCCTGGGTGACGGCTATCGATTTTATAATACCAAGACAATAATATCCTAAACAGAGTCCAACTCAGGCCTTAAGAAGAATGAACTTTTCCCATTGCCAAACAGCTCTGTCTGAATCAGTTTGCATGGCTCTGCCCCCAGGATGCTTGGGGGACAGACAGCAGGAGCTGAGTGCCTCCCCTTATCTCCCAGCTCCAGACCTAGGGTCGTTCCCCTTCCTTTCGCTTTTCTGTTTCTGCCTGTTCTGTCCCCAGTTAAGGCTCCTATTCTTCTCAAACTCTTCTCCTGGCTTTGATCTCCCATTGAAGACTGCAGACTAGTAACAGAAAGCAGGGAACACTCTCAGGGTAACCAATGGTCCCACAGTTTGTGTAGCTCTTAGTCAAGCTAGAGACGGTACCCCATAACCACTCTGCAAAGGCCAGCTACTCCCCAATGTGTACTTAGGATAAAGCAGAGGGTTCTTTGGACAACAAAGGAGATCGCCAACGAGATCAATGTGTATGATGATGGATGTGCTGTTGCTGTAGGATAGTGACAGAGGTCCTGGGAAGGATGGGAGGTGGGAGGATTTGGGTGTCCAGTGGTTTGAGCAATGGTCGAGGTATAAAGTGAACCACGTCAGAAGTTTTCTCAAAAGAATGATGGAAAGTTGTTAAATACAAGTTCCAGAACTAGTGGTAGTTCTTGTCTTCAGAAGGGTTTAGCCAAATGGGGCAGGCAGGACTTTTTCCTTTTGGTGACCTAAGTTGTTGTTGTTGTTTTTTTACCGTGTATGGAAAGTGTAAAAACGTCACAGGGCTCCTTACCGAGTAACTGCACTTTGTTCTCCGGACTCTGTACCAGGACAGAGCTGACCGAGTCCAGGTTGTCGTAGTTGCTGCAGCCCAGGGGACCGGTCCTGGTCTCCGTGACCTAGAGAAGGAAGGGCAGGGGGTGGGTTTATATAACAAGCTGAGACCTTCCCTTTGCACTTCCCTTTTCCGGTCAGCCAATCTCAGGCTCTATGTCCTGTCCTGGACCAGCCCAAGGAAAGGCATGTATCTCCCTACCCCAGGAGCATAAAGCCACTTTTTCCCTTGTTCTAAGACAGGGAGTATCAGTGGTATAGGGCTGGCGGCAGGAGTTGTACATAATTGGAAGCCTTTCAGAGGGAGCCAGAGGGAATTTGAGTCTGGGAAGAGGAAACTCAACGTAGGCAGTGGAAGCTGGAACCTTTGTGTTGGAGTTCCCCCTTCTCCTCCCCCAGAGGAAGAAAGGAGGGCAGATGAGGATGCTGTCAGCCCGCTGGCAAGCCCAGCTGCATCCACTTGATGTGATGCTCACAGGCTTTAGGGATCCCGAAGATGAAAAGCACTAGAGAAATATGAGTATTATTATTAATATTAAACATTTAAATCCCACCTCTGCACTGAGACGTCCTTAGAGAAAATCAGCCATGGGCTTACTGCATATTTTAATAAGCATATTAAATATACATAAACTCTTATAGCTATGTAATATTCCAAAACACCGCAGTCATTTTAAAATATTATAAAGTTGGCCTATCGGTTTTTCCCTGATGTTTAAAGTATAAGATGAAAAATGGGGAGCTTTAAATGCACTGAAATAATTATGTAATAAGAATGATGGGGACCCGAGGCCCTTTCTTCTCAGGATCTCCAGAGGCTTTGCCAAAAATCAATCAACCAATCAACGAGTATTTATTGGGCAGCCACTGTTCAATTCCCTACCATTTAGCAAACATTCACAGAGTGCCTTTCTCGGAGTTCTTCAAGGAAATTGGCCCTGAGACCTCTGACCTTCTCTCCTAGCTCCGGGCACCTCGGCTCCGCAACAAGCATACAACTTGCAGTTTTCCATCCTTTTCTGCGAGTATTTAGTTAAAGCCTGGGTCCTCCACACACTAAAGGCTCTACAGAGGTAAGCTCATAGTTATTTTGCTCACGAGGTTGTCAACAGCACTCAACAGGGTGCCTGGCGCATAGCAGGTACTCAATAAATTAGAGAATGTATGAGTAATCTGTTCCAGGCTTCCGGGGGTGGAGAGGTGTGCACAAAGGTGTACAAGTTATGTAGTGTGTCCTCCAGGAGGTTACACCCTGTGGGGGAGGCAGGTACACATACAACTGACTGATACACATCCACATCGAGCAGGCGCAAAGTGCCACGAGGAGCCCTGAGGAAACCTCAGCTCTAAACAAGAGAAGGAGTTGCAGAGGGGACACCAACTGAGTTGGTCTTTAAAGATGAGTAGAAAGTGGACAAGAAGAGAAGGGAGGGAAAGTACTCTGAGAAAAAGAAGGGGCAGCATCCCTGGTGGTCCAGTGGTTAGGACTCTGGGTTTTCACTGCTGAGAGGCCGGGTTCAATCCCTGGTTGGGGAAAACTAAAACCAGGGATTGAATGGCACGGCCAAAAAAAAAAAGAAGGGGCAGCATGATCTACAACCCATGGGCTGGAAAGTGTGTAGTGTAACTGTCTGCCGTCCTACTAGTTACCGTGGTGAATACCAAAGTGTAAGTGACATGTTTAAAGAGAATTTAGTATACTTGGTCTTAAAAAATACACATGGAAGAGAGTAATTAAGTGAGAGATGGTATGACACAGACTAATACAGTAAAGAGAGAGACGGGAGAGAACCTTGTAGCTTAAAGCAGTCTGAGAAGGCTTCATGGAGAAGGTGATATATAAATTGGTCTTGAAGGATGAGGAGGGGTGCGAGGGAAGGGGGGATTTGGGAGAAAAAGTGGTAACTGCAGACCAAGACCAAGGGGAAGCAACAGACACAGTGCATGAGAGGCAGCAAGACCCAGCATGAATCGGGGACGGGATCAAGGCCATGACAGAGGCAGGAAACCTCTGCACAGTTTCCAAGTTCATCCTCCAAGATCATGCCATTTAACCTTCCCACTAACTCTGAGACAAATCCCACTCCTATCACTCTTCAAAGAAGGAAACCAAGGTTCTGGGAGTTACAGTACCCGAGACCACAGAGCGGCTGAGTAGCTGAAACAGGGTTTTGACTTTTTAGTCCTCAGACTCCAGTTCAAAGCCCCGGGCCTCCTGTGAGGGCACGTCAAAGGGCTGCAGAAAATTAAAATGAGGTAAACCCGTTTAGATAATATCACCCTAAAAAACAAGTGTAAACAGACCAGTTCATCCAAAGTATTTTAGTGATCTGCCCTCTCTTCAGAATGTGAACATGGAGTAAGACAAATTGTATACACTTTAGATATTATTATCCCATATTACAGATAAGGAAACCAAGGCCAGATAGGTTAAATGATTTCTTCAAGGTCACACAGCTAGTCACCTGCAGGGCTACGATTCATTTGACTCATTCGTTTATTCTTTCACTCATTTATTCATCTATTACATATTCAAAGAGAATCCGAAACTCACAGTAAGACAGCCACTACCATAAGGAGTTTACAGACAAGGAAACATGTTTCTATAATCCTGGTGCTCCACGTGAGCCTACCTCCCTCCACAGGTGGGCACTTGGTGCTGAATGATGTCTCTGTATTGAGTGAGTTGGTGAGTGGCTAGTTGTCAAACTGCAGTGGGAAGGCAGAGTCAGGCTTATGTCAAGGTAAAGTCTTCTTTATCCACACGGTGCAAAAATTCCTATAAGAAGAGCTATGGCCAAGGACTAGCCCAGCTATTCTGGGGAACCCTGCCTCTCTTGGAGTGGGATGGGCTGAAGGGCAGAGTGGGATGCTGAGTGTGGTATCTGGGAGATTTGCCTGTCCCCACCTCCAGGTAAGCTGGCCACCATACCGTCCTGAGTTCTGCCCTGGCTTTTCTGTCCACCCACTCCTGAGTTGAACACTCACCAGCAACAGGTGAGAAAGCTACACACCTTACGCAGAAGTAGGACGACCCCCAAGGGGGCACATATAGCACAGCCACTTTCCTCCCCTTTATCCTACCACTATGCCTACCTATCTACCACCAACCCATCTGCTTCCCAACCCCCACCCCCGCCACCACAATCTTGTTCAATATTCTGGGGCCGGCTCTGATGCGATTTTCTGACCTTTACTTTGCTATTTCCAAAGGTCAGTTCTACGAGAGGATAATCAATTAGGTAAGTCATTGAAAGGGTGTGAGAAGCTCCACTTTGTTAATTGTGGCACAAGGACAGGAATGAAGAAGAGACAAAGACCATGATCCCCCTGATCATTTCCTGTTAGAGGAAATGACTCAAGCCAGATCTCCACGAGTGAGGAAGGCTCACTCAGGTTTCACTAGATCCCAAAGTCATTGCTCTTTCCCCTGCTACTCTGCTCTGAGCCACCTCTGTCTTCCCTAGAGAAGCAAGGAGGTGGGAAGGAGAAGGGGAGCTGGAGAGGGTCCTCTTGCAGACATTGCCTGAGCACTGACTTGATAAGCAGGATGAGCTGAGGACCCCTCCCCCCGAGTGATGAAAGCCCCAGAGTCCCTGGCAGGTTGGAGCGGAGAACCCCGTGCCTCTCCCTGTAGAAGAGGCAGACAGCTTTGGCGGATTCTAAAGAGGGCCCCCAGAGGTAATGGAAAGTGCAGCTCACTCAGGCGCAAGCATTCAAAGAGCGCCTCAGATAAGCTTTCAGGAGAAAATAATTGTGTGCTAATTGGCCTGTTGATAGAGACAGTCCTGCCTTCAGAAAGCCCTGATGGATCTCAGGTTCATTAGCACATCCAATTTTCCATAAATGCCAGATTGTGCAAACCCTCGTTCCTGTGAGCCTGTTCTCCTCCCCCTGCCCTTAACTCCCTGGCTGCTCTTGTCCTACCTAGGGGGGCACCTGCGAAGCTAAGCTCGAGTGAAATGGGCTTCTAATTGTGAGCGATAGGGCCGGCCAGGAGAGCACGGCTGACAGTGTGTGTGATTCAAAGAGCTGCAAATTGAATCCCAGGCTGCTACAGGGAGAAATTTGGACAAGTCACTTTAAGAATGCTTGTGAGAACCACTCCCTCTTGCCATCCTGCAATCCACGTGAACTTTTACGTGGGCTCTTTTCGGGCAGCTCATGAGCATCTCAAACCCTCCTCAGTAAGTCCCTCCTCAGCCTTCAATGAATCAGAGGGTGAGCTACAACTAGGAAATAGGCCCCTCCCTTCCTTCAGGGCTCCGATTCCTTCCTGGGAATTATGGACAGGATGAATACGTATTCAGCCCTTTACAGTTTTCAAAGTGTTTTCATGTGAACTATATCATTTGGTGTCACCCCCCATCCTACGGTAGAGTGAGGGGTGATATTTACAATATGTTATTCACGGTATGTATCAGCAGGTAGGACGTCACTCATCAGGAGAGGTGCAGCCGTAGTGCCAAAGCAGGGCTCTGAGGGTCTCCAGAGTTACATTAGCCCTTTGGTTACTATTAGGGGAGATCCCGGGGTTCCAGGGGAGAGATAAAGGTGGTGAGGGTGGCACACAGCAGATTGGGTGAAGATGATTTACCAGCCTGTATGGAAGTGTTTTAATATTTTAATAACTGATGTGGCCATATCAGCTGAATATAAGCCCTGGGTACAGGTGAGTAAAACAGTCGGTAAGTCCATGTCATGGAGTTCAATAACTAACTTCCCAAGACCATAGGAATAGTAAGTATCAAGGCTGAAACCCAATCCCCGGTCTTCTCACTTGAGTAAGTTCGTCTCCCACGAAACCAGGTAACCTGCCTTCCGCTGTCAGTCAGGCATTTTATTGAGTGTCTCACCACACGCCCGACACTGTGAAGGGACCTGGAACTGTATGCATGTGAAAAGAGTCCCCACTGATCTAAGCCCTGCTGTTGTGTGTGGGCAGGTGGAGATGGGCATGTAAACAGCTGCAGTCTAATGTGACAAATCCTGCAACAGAGGTATGTACTGACCAGGGTAAACCTTGCAACAGAGCGGGATGTTCAGGGGGGTCTCGGGCATGTGT